TTTTGTTGGTTTGGGTCAGGTGTCCTGGCTGTGTCCCCTCCCAAGATCTTGCCCCCTTCCAGCCCACTGGTTGGTGTGGGGGGGGAAATATTGGAGGCACAGCCTTGATGCTGTTCGAGCCCTGCTCAGCAGTAGCCAAAACATCGGTGTGTTATCAACCTCTTTCCACATACCAATAGAAAGCACATCCCTATGCTGCTCGACCCAATACAATCAGTTAGTTCACACAAAACATTTGAGGATTACCTATCAATTTGATTCTTTGGGCTACGCAGCAATCTAGCCAATTATTACACAGCATCTTATCTCCTAAGATTCCCTTAACCCCTTCTCTCAATCAGCGTCTGCCTGAGGAGGGAGCAGGCGCTCCCAGTGGGGCCGCCGGCCTGCGAAACTCGTGTGTGGCAAGGAGCAGGAAAGAACCACGTTAAAATTTGCCAGGGTTATGTCTTCTGTCTGGCAAAATCAAAGGATGCTGGGAGAAGGTGCCCATCAAGCCAGTGCCTGGAAGGCTGGAAACATTTTCCTAGGGAAAGGAATGATTCGGATGCATTGTGGGGAGGTCATGAGGGGGAAGCTGCTAGGTGGGCTTGCATCTTCACTCTTGCCTTTCTCCTTTCTCCTCCTGGCTACGATCAGCCACGTCCTACACGGCAGCTGATGTCCAAGGGGCCCTGCTGAAGCAGATCAAAGCTTCCAAGAAGAAGACCATCCTGGTGAAGAAGCCCCAGCAGGAGCATGTCAAATTCATGGACTTTGGTGAGCCCCCTCTCTCTGCGGTCGGTCCCCTCTCCTGGTTTAGGCTTTCAGACGGGCAGGCTGGCTCTTCTGGTCTTGCCAGGGCCTTTTCTCCGTAGCCATAACCTGCCAAATGCTTCCCTGGAAAGTGCCCTCCAGAGCCAGGGCTTGGAGGTTAGTCCACGTGCCCAGACTTGTTCTCAACTTGGGAAGGCCAAAAGCGGGGGGGAAATTGCTCCCCTCTTCCACAGCACCTGGCAAGCGGCCGTGCTGCACCGTGGCGATGCCCGCAGTCCGGGGGGGGGGGGGGGGTGAACCAGCCTGGCCTGCCTGATCTCCTGCTGATAAACCAGAAACACTGATTTTTTAGGAAGGAAAGGTGCATGGCCTCACCTGCATCGGGGCGCAGCTCTACCTGGAGGACGGGCAACCACGCACCCTGCACAGGCAGCTGCCGGGCTCCTATGCCAGGAGCCCGGGGAGAGGGGGCTCTTGGGGGTGCGGTAGCTGGGCAGAG